ATAATCCAGCATGGTTGAGTCTGACAACCAGGTGCACAGTCTCTGAGTCCTCCCAGGAGGTGCAGAGTCAGCCTGTGCCAGTGCCTTGCCCAGGGCCACCCAGCATGAGCTACACAGCAAACCATAGATGGCTGCTATTTGTGCTGGGCTTGGAGGTGTCCAGGAGAGCCAAGCTATGAGCCAATGCAGGCTGTCACTAGTGCCAGGCCTGGGGCCACTTATCAAGCTGTATGGGGCCCACTGCTGCTTGTTTGAGAAAATTTAGGAAAGTCCTAAGCATGAGGCTCAAGGGCCACTTGCAGAGAAAAGCCCCTGGAAATAGCCTAGATGAGCCTGCCGGAGGGTGGGGCAGGGCCTCTGTGAATAACTGGGGTGGGGCCAAAGGTGTGAGTCAACTGCTGGTGATTCAAATATGGTATCTGCCTGCACACTCTGTGTGGGAAGGTCTCGCCAAAGGAGCAATGGCCCCTGCCAGCTCTTCTCTCTGGGAGAAAGCTGCCCCTCCACCTCTTGCCCCCTCCACCTCTCGCCTGGATTTCGGGCAGGTTAGTTCCTCCCCAAGTGTCCCAGGTTCCTTTCAGGCTACTGCCCGGCGCTGGGGCTCAGAGGGAGCGTGTCTGAGTGATTCCCGGCACTGGGGCTCAGAGAAAGTGTGTCTGAGTGATTCCGTGCGTGGGCCCTTTAAGAGGAGCTGCTGGGGCTCCCGCAGCCTACAACCCTCAGAGACAGTCTCCATTGGTTTCACAGCCAGAGTTGTGGGGATTTCTCTTCCCAGCCCTGGAGCCCTGGCCTGGGGTCCTGATGTGGGGCTAGGACCCCTTACTCCTCTGGGAAACCCCCACCCCTGAGATTCCCTCCTGGGTTTCAACCGAGCCTGGGTGAAGGCTTCTGCCTGCAACTCTGCAATTCAGCCCAGATCCACCCACATCTCCGCCCCTCCTACCAGTCTCTATGCTTCTTCAGTTCCCTGATTATAGGGCTTCTGTGCAGCCAGATTTCAGGAGGATCTGAGTGATGGTGGTTCTGGTGGTATTTTAGTTGTAATTTTGATGTGGTTGCGGGAGGCAGCGAGTGCAGCTGTTACCTATGCTGCCATCTTGTTTCTCTCTCAATTTCTTTTAATAATGTCTTATAGTTTACAGTATATAGGTCTTTCATTATTTGGTGAAATTTATTCCTAGGTATTTAGTACTTTTGTTGAGATTGTAAATGAAATTTTTTTCTTAATTTCTCTTTCTGATAGTTTCTTGGTCATGTACAGAAGTGCAATAGATTTTTGTATATTGATTTTGTACCTCAAAATTTACTGAATTTATTACTCCCAACAGTTTTTGGTGGAGTCTTTATAGTTTTCAATGTAAAAAAATCATGCCATCCCCAGATAGTGACAGTTTTAACTCTTCCTTTCCAATTTGGATTCCTTTTATTTCTTTTTCCTGCCTAATTTTTCTGGCTAAGACTTCCAATAACTGGGTTAAATAAAAGTGGCAAGAGTGGGCATCCTTGTCTTGTTCCTCATCTTAAGGGAAAAGTTTTCAGCTTTTTCCATTGAGTATAATGTTAGTTGTAGGCTTGTCATATATAGCCTTTATTATGTTGAGGTATTTTTCATCTATACCCATTTTGGTTGAGAGCTTTTATCATTAATGGATGCTGAATTTTTTCAAATGCTTTTTGTGCATCTATTGAAATGATTGTATGATTTTATCTTTCATTTTGTTGATGTGATGTAACACATTTATTGATCTGCATATGTTGAACCATTTCTGCATTTCTGGAATAAATCCAACTTGATCATGATGCATAATCCTTTTAATGCATTGTTGAATGCTTTGCTAATATTTTCTGAGCATTTTTGCATTTTGTTCATTAGAGATATTGGCTTGTGTTTTTCTTTTATTGTGTCATCTTTCTCTAGTTTTTATATCAGTGTAATGCTGGTCTTGCAATGAATTTGACAGTGTTCACTCATCTTTAATTTTTTTGGAAGAGTTTGAGCAGAATTAATATTAAATCTTCTTTCAATGCTTGGTAGACTTTACCAGTGAAACCATTTAATCCTGGACTTTGGGGACATTTTTAAATTACACATTCAATCTGCTTACTAATAATCTCCCTATTCAGGTTTTCAGTTTCTTCAACATTCAATCTTGGAAGGCTGCATGTTTCTAGAAATGTATTTATTTCTTGTAGGTTGTCCATTTTGTTGGCATACAGTTATTCATAGTGTCTTACAATCCTTTGTATTTCTTTGATAATGAGTTGTAATTTCTCCTCTCTTATTCCTGATTTTGTTTATTTGAGCCCTTTTTTTAAAGAAGTCTAGTTAAAGGTTTGTCAATTCTGTTTATCTTTTCAAATAACCAGCTTTTTGTTTCATTAATCTTTTCTACTGTCTTTAAAGTCTCTATTTCATGTATTTCTGCACCGATCTTTATTATTTCCTTTCTTCTACTAACTTTGGACTTTGTTTTTTTTTCTTTTTCTAGTTTCTTTAGCGTAAGATTAAATTTCTTATCTGAGATTTTTCTGGTGTTGTGAGATAGGCTTGTATTACTATAAATTTCCCTTTTAGAACTGCTTTTGCTGCATACCACATATTTTGGTATGTTGTATTTCTACTTTCATCTGTATTGAGGTATTTTTTGACTACCACTCTGATGTATTCATTAAATCATTGGTTTTTCAGTGGCATGTTGCTTAATCTCCACATATTAGTAAATTTTCCAGTTTCTTCTTGTAATTGTTTTCTAGTTTAATACCATTGTGGCCAGAGAAGACGCTTCATATGATTTCAGTCTTCTTAAATTTATTGAGACTTGTTTTGTGGCCTAGCATATGATCTATCCTGAAAAATTTTCATGTGCATGTGAAAAGATTGTTTATTTTGCTGCTTTTGGATGAAATTTTCTCATATATCTATTAAGTCCATCTGATCTAATGTGTCACTTAAGGCCAGTGTTTCCTCATTGATTTTCTGACTGCATAATTTATCCATTGATGTAAGTGGGGTATTAAAGTCTCCCCACTATTATTCTATTGCTATCAATTTCTCCCTTTAGGTCTGGTAATATTTGTGTGATTACACAGGTGCTCCTATGATGTGTGCATAAATATTTATAAATATTATAATCTCTTGTTGGATTGATCCCTTTATCATTACGTAATGGCTATGTTTGTCTTTTATTACAGTCTTTATTTTAAAGTCTATTTTGTCTGATATAAGTATAGCTACTCCAGCTTTCTTTTGGTTTCCATTTGCATGAAATAGCTTTTTCTATTTTTTCACTTTCAGATGTGCGTATCCTTACATCTGAGGTGAGTCTCCTGCAGGCAACATATAGATGGGTATTAGATAGGTCTTGTATTTTTATCCATTAGGTAATCTATGTCTTTTGATTGAAGAATTTAGTCCAAGGTACATAGTTATTGACATTTGGGGGATTTTTTTCTGGCCACTTTGTAGTTCCTCTCTGTTCCTTTCTACATCTCTTGCTTTCTTTCCTAGTGGTTTCATGACTTTCTGTAATGTTAAGTTTAGATTCATTTCCTTAACTTTTATAGTTTTTTATTTGCTTCATGGTTACCATGAGGCTCATGTATAACATATGCACTGTTGGTGGGAATGTAAATTGGTACAGCCACTGTGAAAAACAGTATGGAAGTTCCTCAAAAAAAAAAACAAAAAAAAAACCCTAAAAAATAGAATTACTACATGATCTAGCAATTCCCTTTCTGGGCATTTATCCAAAGAAAACAAAAATACTACATCAGAAAGATATATGCACCACCATGTTCATTGCACCATTATTTAAAATGGCTAAGATATGGAAACAAACTAAGTGTACATAGATGAATGAAGAACCTGTAATATACAGAGGGCAAAAGTAGGTTTACAGTTGTCAGTGTGCAAAACACAAGTTCATTCTTGTACTATTATAATTATTGTATTATTTTCCATATGAACAACTGTAAACCTACTTTTTCCCCACCCTGTGTATATTGTCCATAAAAAAGAATGAAATCTTGCCATTTGCAACATGGATGGACCCTGAAGGTATTATGCTGTTAAGTAAATCAGACAAAGGAAGACAAGTACTATATTATCTCACTTATATGTGAAATTTAAAAACAACAACAACAAAAAGCTTATAGATACACTGGTGGTTGCCAGAGGCAGGGGTTGAGGGTGGGCAAAATAGATGAAGAGAGTAAAAAGGTACAAACTTCCAATTATAAAGCAAATAAGTTTAGGGGACATAATGTACAGCATGGTCATCATAGTTAATAATACTTTATTGCATATTTGAAAGTTTCAAAGAGAGTAAAATCTTAAAAGTTCTCATTATAAGAAAATAATTCTGTAACTAGGTATGGTGACAGATGTTAACTAGACATGTTGTGTTAATAATTTTACAAAATATACAAATGTGAAACCACTATACTGTACTCCTGAAACTAATATATGTCAAATATATCTTAATTTTAAAATAAATATATAAAACAATATTTTATATCTGAATAGTCTACATTGAAACACTGTCTAGAAAATAAATTGTCACTCACTTAACTGTCTAAAAAAATTAATTACAAGCTCTGGCAGGTGTGGCTCAGTTGGTTGGAGCATTGTCCCATGCACCGAAAGGTCACAAGTTCAATTCCCAGTCAGGGCACATAACCAGGTTTCAGGTTCAATCCCTAGTCAGGGCATGTGTGGGGGGCAACCAATCAATGTTTCTCTCTCTCATTAATGTACCTCTTCCCCATCTCCCTTCCTCTCTCTCTAAAATCAATCACAAAATCAATACATATTTCACTTCAATGTTCATATTCAAGATAATAATTAATTAATATACTCAGAAGACAAAAGGAAAAAAATCCAAGCAAAAAAAGTCAGAGGTAATTTTTTAAAATATAATCAAATAAAGCAAATAATAATAATATAAAAGATTAAATTCTAACAGCACATATTACTATCTTTGTTGTAAGTATTTCCTTACCTGTGAATATTCTTGGATTTTAGCATTTGTCTTTAGTCCACTAGAATCTGCAACTTGTGCTTTCCTTGTTTCTTTCTCCAATGGTATAGATTTTGAATCTTCACCTTTAACTTCTGTTTTACTAATACTCTTTTCCATTGTTGTCTTGATCTTCCTGTCACTTTTAAGTAATTCCCCTTGATTTAGGAAATATTTCAGTTGATGCTTAGCTTTTTCAGATTCCTGTTTGAAAAAAGTAGCCATTTATCAACATTATTTCTGTTACATTTTCCTGCCAATATTACAACTTTCAAAAATATGCATATATTCATGCCCATATTACTTCCTAACTTTACTTTTACTGAGTTGGAGGAACCCAAGTTAAACCACTGACATAATCCATAGTTTAATAGATCCTCAACATTTAAACTATGAAAATTCTCTTCCACTTTGAGAGCTATTTTGATACCCAGGAGTTTCTAGTACTCTTACTTTTTATTTTTTAATTAAACTTACTGGGGTGACACTGGTCGATAAAATTATACAGGTTTCAGAATGGCTATAATCAATAAATAAACAAATAAGTGTTGGAGAGGATGTAGAGAAAAGGGAACCCTCATGCACTGTTGGTGGGAAAGCAGACTGGTGTAGCCACTGTGGAAAGCAGTATGGCGTTACCTCAAAAAAATTAAAAAAGACACTGCCTCATGACCCAGTAATTCTACTTCTGGGAATATATCCAAAGAAAACTGAAACACTAATTCAAAAGAATATATGCACCCCTATGTTCATAGAAGCATTATTTACAATAGCCAAGATTTGGAAGCAGCCCAAGTACCCATCAGTAGATGAGTGGATAAAAAAACTGGTACATTTACACAATGGAGTATTATTTAGCCAGAAAAAAAAAAGAGGAAAATCTGCTCTTACTTTTTTAAGGGCTATACTTATTATACAGGCACAGTAAGAGTTAATAAAAGGTATACATTATACAAAGTGCTGAATTATAGCTATGGTAATTAACATCTATATAAAAAAAAGAAAACCAGAAAAATAATTTGTTTTTCTAGAATAAATTTTTTCTTTAAAATATTATTTTGTATGAAAGAATATATAGGTTAACAAAATAAAGTTCACAAATAATCTCACCACAGACAGAAAACTCACTGTTAACATTTCAATGTATATCCTTTTTAATTATTTATAAATATAACTAATAAATACATGTATTTTTAAATATTTATCTATATTGGATCATGTACTATATATATATATATATATATATATATACATAATATGACCCTTTCATTATATAATGTCATAGATATGTTTCCATGACAATAAATAAACATGTAAGTCAGAATAGTAAGATAATATATCTAATAATATACCTAATAATAATAATAATAATAAACCTAATAATGACATAGCTAAGATAATATACCTTAATAATATTCTTTAACTTATTTAGCAAATTTTTTATCAATGGACAGATTGATAATTTAAAATATTTTGCTATTAAAAAATTTTATATTATACATACTTGTAAAAATCTCTGTATACTTTTTTCTTCTTTACAACAAATTTTTACTAGTGGAACTGTTCAATGAAAAAGATATGTCTTTTCAAGACTTTTGCTATATGTTTTCTTCAGGAAAGGATTGATTCATAGTAATAATAGAAGTATGTGAAAGATTGCTCATTTCTGCATATAGTCACGAACATTAGATTTTTCTGCTTTTAAAAGTTTACCAAAATGGAAGGTTAAAAAAAATCTATCCCATTGTTATTTTATTTTTTATTAAATATATTGTGCTGACATTGGTTAAAATTATATAGGTTTCAAGTGTACATTACTATGATACATGATCTGTTTATGGCATTGTGTGCCTACCAACCAAAGTCAAATAATCTTTCATCACCATATATTTTCTTATTTTTAATTACACTAATTTGAAAAGAGTGAGGTTGAATATACTCGAATGCATTTATTGGGCATGTGTGTTTCTAAATTATGACTTGCCTATTTGTGTCCTTTGTCTATTTGGGAAGAGGGTTATACATATTTCTTTTAGATTTGTAAAATATCTTCATGTAAAATATTATGTAAAAATTTTCCATTTACCTTTTTATCTTATAATTTTTATCATTAAAATGTTTTAAATTTATATATTTAAATATATAAATATATTAACATGTTTAGAAAGCCTTGCTCTAGCCAAGACCAGATAATTGTTACTGTTTCTTCTATTCAGTATCAAATCCAGAACCATTCAGTTTTAGATATTATAGTTTTACATTACATATTGATTTTTAGATGAGCAAACTTTCCTTGTTTTCCCCCACCAATTTCTTACCTCAATATATGCTATTATAATAGCTCTGTTAAGCTGAAAAATAATTCCGCTTACATCTAAAAATAAATTGCATTGTTTGTATATCAATTTGGAGAAAGTAGAAAATGAAATAATTTATAATAGTGAGCCTTCAAAACCAAAAATATAAATTTCTTCACTGTTCACCTATATCCCTCAGTAAAGTGTATTTTCTTCATATAAAACTCTGTGTATTTTTGTTAAATATGCTATCCTAATATTGTGAATATAATTTTTCTACTATATTTTCTAAATAATTGCTTCTTTTAGCCTGGCCGGGCGTGGCTCAGTGGTTGAGCGGTGACCTGGGATGCAGGCAATTGGAGTTCGATTCCGGGTCAGGGCACATGCCAGGGTTGAGGGCTCAGTCCCCGGTCGGGGGCATGCAGGAGGCAGCCAATCAATGACTCTCTCATCATTGATGTTTCTCTCTCTCTCTCTCCCTCTCCTTTCCTCTCTCTGAAATCAATAAAGATATATTTTTAAAAATAAATAATTGCTACTTTTTTTCTTGTATAATTCTTTTTATTTTTTTATTTTTTCAATTACAGTTGACATACATTATGTTAGTTTCAGGTGTACAACACAGTCATTAATTGCTTCTGATAAAAATAAAAACTGTTGCTTTTTATATTTATTTTGTCCTCAGTCACCTTTTTGAACAATATCATTAATAACAAATTTGTGTATTATCTTGCGTTTTTCAAAAGGAAAACTATATAATATATAAGTAATATTACTTTTGTCTATCTGTTTATAAAAATGTAGTTTCTTTCTTTGATCATTTAGCAACAATTTGAAAAATAGCAGTAAGAGCCAACATCCCAGTTTAACTGAGTTTAACTGGAATGATTGCAGTATTTTACTTTTATGTATAATATTGTCTCAGTTTGAAATAGATTTCTTTTGTTTGATTAAGGATGTTTACTTTCTTTCTACCTTACTCCTATATGATTTCACTTATATGTGGAATATAAAACTGAAGGCAACAAAGGAACAAACAAGAAAAACAAAAACTCATAGACACCGACAACAGTAAGGTGGTTTCTAGAGGAAAAGGGGTGGGGATGTAGTAAAGGGTACAGGGGGTTAAATATATGGTGACAAAAGATGATTTGACTTGGGTGGTGGGCACATAATGTCTTTTATAGATCATGTATCACAGAAATGTATACTTGAAACCTATATAATCTTATTAACCAATGTCACCCAATAAATTTAATTAAAAAGAATAAAATAAAACTCTAGGTGTAAAAAGAAATATGAATGTTTAATTTTATTAATATATTCCTAGTGTGTAAAATAAAAATACTTTAAACCTGGCAAAATAGCATATACTTATTAGTTAACAACATCAAAATTATTCATTTTAAAAATCTGTATAATTTTATTAACCAATATCACCCCAATAAACTCAATTTTCAAAATAAAAGCTCCTTATAGATATTTTCTTCATTTGATAACAATTTTTTTTATAATTTTTATTTTTGTTTAAAGTATTACAGATGTCCCTTTTTCTTCCCAATGACCCTTCCCCCCCCCG